CCCCCCCACCACCACCACAAGTCTCCCGGCGCCTTCAGACATCCCGATAAGACCCCCTTCCCCTCCCAGGCAGCTCATGGAAACAAAGCGAGCCCTTCACGCGTGCCGATGACGTCCCGTGGCACACGGGGGTCATTGCCGATCAGATCCCGCGGAGCGCTGAATTCGGAGCTTTGTCCTCGCTTCTCGGGAATTTGCGTGACCCTCTGTAGGCAGCCAGCAGGAAGCCAAGAGAGGACCCCACCCTCGCAGGCTGGAGCTGACAGCTGGCAGTGGCTGGTCAGGCAGCCATCACACACAGTTTCTCATTAATGTGTCCCGGCTCTTTGCAGAAGTGCTACAATAAAAAAAAAAGGCTTTGTTGTTGTTTTGCCCCCCCCCGATAGAAAGGTGACATGCTGGCCCGGTCATGGCGCTCATCTGTCCTCGGGGACCTGTGTGCCCTCTGTAACACGGCACTGCACCTCTGGCGGGCCGCCCGGGCGTGGGGGGGAGGTTATATCTGTCCATGGTGCAGAGCTGCATGGCCGGTCACCGTGGGTAACAGACGTGCGAAAGGAAGGGATTGTAAACACGTCGCTTTCCCTGTGAAGGGACTGTGCTGGAAACCCCCGCTTTCGTGGCTCCGATTATTGCCCCCCTCCCCTTTCAGGAACAATGGGGATCCCTCACCACAGGCAGTGACCACCTTCGTTAGTTATGAAAACAGTTTTACAGGCACTCTTAAGGATATTGTGATTTTTCTTTTTAAATTTTTTTTTTCCACCCTCTGATGGGGAGAAAGTGGTTTAAAATGCTTTGCCAGGAATCGACTCCCGGGACACCAGGCGTGGAGATGAGACCTGGATGTCTTCCAGCAGACCGAACAGAAGCACCGAGGCTGGGGGGTGTTTATGGCTGCCCTATGGACGCTGCCCTGTTCCCCGGCCTTTTATAGCCAGGCTGATGCGGGTCGTGTTACCGTCTCGCTTGTTCCTCCGAATCCCCGTGATGCAGCAGCTTCCCCGGTCAGTCAGGGGTGTCCTCCGTCAGCAGCCGAGTCCTTGCTCTCGCTGTCTGCGCTATTTCCAGCTACATGTGGGCCCAGAGGGACCTGAGTGGAAGCGGCCGAATTCCCGGAGCCGGAGGAGCAGACTGCTTGTGTCATGACACTTTAAATTGACAGCTAACCCCCCCTCCCCCCCCAACCTCGACAGGTCAGCCTGAAGCGATCCACACGCAAGAGGTCGGCGTCGCTGTCCGACTGTGGCAGCGACCCCTCCCCCGTCAAGGCGCGCCCCGCCTCCCCCCGACCCGCTGTGGCCCAGAGCCCTCTTCAGCGGCCTTCCTTGCAGCCTTCCCCGCCGCTCGTCGGGAACCCCCCCGCGGACCCCCCCGCAAGCCGGCCCGTGCCGCCAGAGGTGCGGCGGCTGATTGTGAATAAGAACGCAGGCGAGACGCTGCTCCAGAGAGCTGCCCGCCTGGGATACGAGGTAAGCCGCTTCCCCGCCCCCCCACTCCCGACTCCCCGCTCTGTTCCAGCAGCAACGCCCCCCCCCCCCCTTTTGCGGTACAAGCACGGCTCCCTCACACCTCGTTAATTCTCCGCTAGACCGAGTGTGGCGTGTAAGCGTCCCCGACAGGCGCGGAGCGATCGTTTAGCACGCGCCCGCTTGCACGCTCTCTCTCTCTCTCTCTCGGCCGCTCACTCACGCTCGCATTCTCTCGCTCTCGGTCTCTTGCTCTCTCTTGCACTCTCTCGCTTTCTCCCTCCCTCATTCTCTTGCTCTCTCCCTCTCTCCCTTTCCCTCTTTCTCACTTGCTCTCCTGCTCTCACTCTCTCTCACACACGCGCTTGCTCTTTCGTTCGCTCTCTCTCTCCCTGTTGCTCGGTTGCTCCCGCCCCCCCCCCTCACTTGCCTGCTCAGAAGCAGTTCCCGGAATACATTGCTGCTGACCTTTGCCCCCTCCTCTGCCGCCGCGTTCTGCCCCCCCCCGAGCGCCATTTCCTGCCTGATAGCGAGTCCAGGTTTATTTCTAGCAGCCCAGGGAATAAACAAATCTAGTCGCCTCTGAAAGATGGTAAAATAGCATTTTATTTGATTCTGCATTTTGGGTGGAAATAACGTGAATATTTCCCATGTTCCCTACAATAAATTAGTATGATTTTCACATAATCAGATTTTAACTTTTAAACCTGCAACACGTATAATGTGTTAAAAAATAGTACAAATTTAGATTTGATCCTAATAGCGGTATAATAAGGAGCTGTATTCCCAGCCCCCCCACCTTGCTACAGTCAGCCTTGCTTTGTCCTCCTCCTGTTTTGCTGTCTGCTGCCCTTCACTCCCTGCTCTAAATCTGACTCTCTATAAGAGGTTTTTCCTGACCCCTCCCTCCCTTACCCCTCCCTCCCTGTCCCACTAACGGATGCCAAACGTAATGGATACACACAGGCTGGCGACGGTGTCCTCGTCATACGTTCAGGTCACTCGAGTCAGTCTGGGGGGGAGGGTAGACAGTTTGCCTGTCTGTGGTTCTCTCTTCCTTTTGGTCTTCATTATTTTAATTTCCTTCCTGTACAGTATACCTTTGTCTGCCCTCTGCATCTGGTGTCGGTGGGTGAGACTTCAGGCTGTGTGCGTGTGTGTGTGTGTGTGTGTGTGTGTGTGTGTGTGTGAGACAGAGAGTCAGCACGACTCTTCCTTCCCTGTCTCATGCCGCGTTGCCGTCTCCTGTATTGTTGCCCGACCTGCTGATTATGTGCCTATTCCCCTGCCAAGAACCTGCCATGAGAGGCTATTAAATGTCATGCAAAGCCCCTCCTGGACTTGTGGGTACTGACTCTCAGGGACTCCGAAGCCCCTCCTGGACTTGTAGGTACTGACTCTCAGGGACTCTGAAGCCCCGCCTGGACCTGTGGGTATTGACTCTCAGGGACTCTGAAGCCCCTCCTGGACCTGTGGGTATTGACTCTCAGGGACTCTGAAGCCCCTCCTGGACCTGTGGGTA